AAATGCCCTGAGTTCGTAGTCTTCATTTTTACATATGTCCTGGTTTTTGCAGGGATGGAGTTAATTTTCTTCCTAGTAGCTGGTACAGTGCTGTGTTTTGGATTTAGGGTGAGAACAATGTTGATAACGCACCGATGTTTTAGTTGTTGCTAAGCAGTGCTTACGCTAGTCAAGGACTTTTCAGCTTCCCATGCTCTACCAACTGAGAAGGCTGGAGGTGCACAAGAAGCTGGGAGGGGGCACAGCCAGGACAGCTGACCCCAACTGCCCAAAGGGACATTCCATACCATGTGACGTCATGCTCAGTACATAAACTGGGGGGAGCTGGCTGGGGGAGGGGTGACTGCTGCTCGGGGACTGGCTGGGCATCGGTCGGCAGGTGGTGAGCAATTGCACTGTGCATCACTTGCTTTGTATATTATTATTACTAGTAGTAGTAGTAGTATTTTATTTTATTTCAATTATTAAACTGTTTTCATCTCAACCCATGAGTTTTCTCACTTTTACTCTTCCGATTCTCTCCCCCATCCCACCGGGGGGGGAGTGAGCGAGCGGCTGTGTGGTGCTCAGTTGCCGACTGAGGTTAAACCACGACAACATATCTAGGTGGACAGTTATCTACAGCATACAGAAGTTCCCTGTGAAATAAAGAAGTCATCTTCTTTTTCTCATTTTTGAAGTGCTAAAGGCCATTCAAAATTGAAGAAATATGCTGTTTTCAATTCCAATGCTTTTACTTTCATAATAGATTTTATCATGTATTGTACTGCTTTCTCCACATTAAATTATTCCTGGGAGAGGTCATACTTAAGACTAGGGTTTTTGCAGTGTTTTAAAAGAAACTTACCATGATTTAGTTCTTGTTTTATTTGTAATAATCTTTCTTTGTTTGTTTGTTTCTTAAGCTGTTTTTTTCAGATCTCAGTTCTTCAGTTTTTCAAAAGGGAAAATTAGGCACAAATTAAAAAATGAATACTGCTCTTTTAATACATCACAGCAAGATTTTGTTAGTGTAGGGCCAGTAAAGCAATCTAGAAAACAGAGTCTGGAGCAATATGTACTGGAAGTTCAGGATGACCAGCTGAAGAAAGCTGAAGTAAAAGTCACATCTAGAAGAGAAACTAAGTTGTTTCCTGTCAGGCTTGCAACTTGCACTTGCTTGCTGCTCACTTACCCCTCCCTAAAGGGCACTTCTTTTTTAGTGTTTGACAACCAGAAATGGAAAATGAGCTTTATTTTTTTGAACTGTGGTTGGGGTGTTGCTAATTACAGGCGTGGTTATGTCCTCTTCTGGTGGTGACCATGCAAGATAGTCAGAAAGAGGAATAAAAGGAAAGAGATCAGAATTAAGCCAATCGCTATGGTCCATCTGAGAGATCTGTGGAGATTATCCCAAGAAGAAACACGGTATCTCAAGTATTACCCAGTCAAAGCACAAAAGGTGATGGATGTTGCAAGAGACAGCTCCAAACCTACTGGAATGGAACACCTCACAAATCGGAGGTGGGCTTCTCAGCCATAAGCCCAGCTTGGCGCACGCATTTACAGCTTCCTCCTTGCTGGGTTTTCCGCCTGCCACCCAGCAGGGGGACAAGTGTCATGAGACATCTGAAACGAGAGGTGGCCACTTTTGGGTGTATTTTGAATCACGACAGGCTGTCTTTTGCACAGTGGCTGCAGACGCTACCCCCAACGTGGCCAGGGAGAAGGCAGAGGGGCACAGCGGCGCGGGACCTGATGCCTCCAGCGCTCGCTGCCTCTGCACTTGTTGCTTTTTGGCTTCCCCTGCAGCCCCAGCACCTAGGAACAGCTGCTCTGTTGGCTCAGTCCATGAGAGCCTTGCAAAGAAAGCTTAGAGAAAGCTCTCCAATGTCATTTGGCAATGGTCTCTGCCTTTGCAGACTCAAGTATGAAAGGTTGTGCTTAGGTCTGCACATAAATTACACCCTGGGCTGTTGAGCTGTGGTGCCTTGGAACGAGGAGGCTTTTCACAGTGCAAAACGACAGCGTTAGGTTGAGGGTTGAAATCTTGAGTTTCAAATGAGGAAATTAAGCCAGGCAAATTTATACACATAGCCAATTGTATAAAGCCATCTGATAATCAGAGCCTTTTTCTCTGCTTTAAAAAGAAGTAGCTCTTTTTTCTTTTTTCTTTTTTTTTGCATTCGATCACAAAAACAATCTTTGAGAATCATAAACACCGTCACAATGCTACACACTTGCACGTAAGTCAGGAAGATCCCCTTACCATGTAGAGCATGTTGCTGGCTGGTGGATTCACTCCAGACCGGAATCTGTTATGGGTTTGCACACATTCCTCAATAAACTTTGGATCTCCAACATCAGGCAATGTCGGTGGTTCATAGGAGTCAGAGGAACGACAGAAGTGCAGAAGAGCCAGCACACAAGCAGAAAATCTGCTTGTCATGATTCTCAGCCTCTGGTCTTCCAGCTTTAAGAGCAGACAGAGTGTTTCAGCTGTACGAGGTGGTTTTAGCTCTACCAGCAGCGTTTTGCTTGGAAGGCTTGTGGGCTGGACTTATCTTAGCCATGGTAATTGAATATGGCATTGGTCACAGGAAATGAGTCATATTTCAGGAGCGTTGCTATGAGAATAAGGAAATTAAACTACAGTTCACACCAGAGCTGTGGCAGCTTTGTCTGTCTCTTTTTTTCTTCTTTCTTTAATTGTGGTGGGCAAGCTGCTTCTCTCCTGTCCTTTGGGCTTCTTTGTTTTTGTTTCTTTGGCTCCCACCATCCCATCCATAGCAATCACTATGGATTGTAGTGAAGTTTTGCATAAATTTTCTGCTTTTCATGAAAATAGCATTGCTGTTAAGGCTGTTACTCTGAGCCAAAATGCTGTGAGAAATAATCGATTTGAACTATGACTTTTACTACAGTATGAACAGTCACTTTGGTTGTACATCGAGCTGTCGGAGGGGTAAGTTTGGCTAAGAACTGCAATTTAAATATGCTGCAGTTATTGATGGGTTTCTTCTGTGACCACACGCTTGTGTTATGCGTTGCTATCAATTTCTCCTCCCAAGCTTTAGCAATTCTTAATTCATTCCCTGCAACCCAAGCCCCCAGCAGAGTTGGGTGCTATGAAGTTTGGTGCTGTCTCATGCCGGGTGCCCAGCAAACCACCCTGGCTGGTTTCACAGCCAGGAGCTGGGAGCTGATGTCCCATACACGTTGCCTCAGGTGCCCAACGATCCCTGCTCAGACCCACCACCATCACCACCCTCTTCCTCACACTGCCCTTAACTATCACCTGTCCATCAAGCTCAGGCTCTTTCCCACAGTCCCAACCTGGACATCTCTGTGGGAATGAGGTTGGGTTTCTTCCCACTCCAGGTTTCGTTTTAGGAATTTGCATCCTTTGAACAGCTGGGTGTAGGTCCCAGTTATCACTTCTGCGCATGCAGTCCTGTAGGTGTTGGGGCTGGTGGTAAGGCCACGTTCAGGTTGGTGGTCCAGGGTCACACTGTGAGCCTGCTACAGCAGCCCCACCAAGCACACATTAGGTCCTGTGGGTCGCACTTCTCCAGCTATTCATGGGGAGACTGCTTACAGGTGAAAAGGGTCTCTGAGGGAATCGTGGATGAGAAACACTGTGCTCACAACTCCCCTAGGGACCACTTCTTAGAGCAGAATAATGTGATGGGTTGACCCCTGCCAGCAGCCAAGCACCCACACTGCCACTCACTCACTGCCCCTTCCCCAGCAGGACAGGGGGAGAAAACAGGAAGAAGAAAAGTGAGAAAACTCATGGGTCAGGATAAAAATATGTATGTAAAGAGGGGTGAACAAACAAACAAAACCCCCAAGTGATGCAAAGGCAATCACTCACCACCCCCAATGGCAGACTGATGCCCAGACAGTCTCCGAGCAATGGCCACCCTGGAAGCCAGCCCCCCACCTTTCTTCTTCTACCCCAGTTTGTTTTGCTGAACACAATGTTCTATGGTATAGAATATCCCTTTAGTCAATTCGGGTCACCTGTCCCAGCTGTGTCCTGTTCCCAACCACTTGCCCCCAGCCTACATGCTGTTGCTAGATATGCAAGATGGCAGCAGACAAGAACTGACAATTCTGAAATTAAATATGTATCTTCTTACATGGTGACATTTTGCAGCATATGACAAGAGCCCAAACATCTGGGGCTCATTTTTATTCTCTGGGATGCCATGCTCCTTCAGAGCTGCAACATGGCTCAGAATTTGAGTCACTGTGTTCTCAAAACATTAGGACTAAGATAAAGGAGGAGAAACAGCTTTAAATATTGATAGCACAGTTATGCATTGCACATATCACCCAGCATGTCTTAGCTTGAAATACAGGTTTGTTTCCCTTACTAACAAATGTATATAGGAACAATAGGGGTCGAGGGCTAAACGTCTCTAAAAACAAACTGAATCCATCAACAGTTTGGGCTTTTTTAATGAGGTTGAGATCTTCCATTTCCAAACCAGAATCTGTCCTGGGCCCATTTCATCTTCCCTCTCCTGTTTTGACTCCCTGCTTCCCCCGCCTTCCCCTGCCTGCAAGCTCAGGATGGCTGTCATCTACTCTGCATTTCAGATTTTGTCACCATCTCACATCCTAAAATTAAGCTCTCCCCATTGACACTCCATCTTAATCCTTGCTCTGTCAACTTTCCTTGGTATTCTTCTAGCTGTGGAGGACAAAGCTTAACCCTGAGAGGAGAAGAATAGAATAGTACAACTGACAATAGAGTAACTTTAATGGAGACTGATACACATGGGCTAAATAGAGTAAAGGACAAGCTTTACTCAGTCTGTTCTTAAAAATAAAACATACAGTTAAATCTCCATTATCTGGGGAAAGCGATGCCTGCGATAATTGACGATTAATGGAGATGAGTTATTGCTTCTTTTGGATCCGCTATGCCGCTTCAGATATGTCTGCGTGATGCTCCAGGTTTCCAGGAGGCTTGTTAGCATGTATAGTAATATACAGTCTATGTGGTCCCCCTAGCAATCGACTCCTGAGCCAGAGCTAAGAGGCTCGTGCAGACGTAGAAGCATGTTGCAGCTACTGCCAATAAATTACTAACTCTATGCACAGCCATTAATATCTTGCCTTGCGTGAAGAAGCAGCCTTTTCTATGCTGGATAAACATCACAAGGATAATGGAGAAATGATTGAGTGTTTTTGCAAATGTGTGCAATTCTCTGAGAGTAATACAGTGGTATCAATATCTTAATTGATCATTACTCATAAAAAAATGCGTGTGGAAACCGCTGTTGTACTAAAAGAACGGCACCAGCACTCAGTACCAAAAACAGTGGCCTTAAAATTGAAACACTAAGACAGTACTGGTCACAAGAGGGATGCGGATGCTCAGCGGGTGGGATGTACGGCGGCGTGGGAGGCCTGGGGGGATGGGGCCGCGGTGGCTGGGGCTGCGTATCCCAGTCCGGATACCAGTAGGCATAATCTAAAAAACAGTGAAGAAACAGCTGTTAAGACCCATTGAACTTAGCCAAACTTATGGGAAAGCAATTAAGAACAATTTGATACGTACTTATCAGCTTCTCACGTTCTGTATTTTCTGTAGAGAGATCAGAAAAGGAAATAAATGTGAGTATCATTCAGTGGTGGTTCTTAATGTAAAGAGGTAAGCCATTGCTGCTGCCTGGCTGATTGCACTGACGATGCCAGTCAGCCCCTAAAACACCCTGCAAGGAGGAAGCGGGCCAACAAAAGCAGGTTCCCAACTGGCATGGGGCTCGTATTTTTTACTGAATTGCAAGAGAAGCAGAAAAGAAGCAGCTGTAATAGGAAGAATTTATGACATGGGGAGGAGGGAATAGCAAATAAAAACAAAACATGGAATTTATTTAAAATTGATACACAAACCAAATTTAAGTAGTTACAGACAGAAAATATAACTACTAAATTTATCACAGAAGTACACCTTTACTAAAAGCTTTGATGCATTTACAGAATTGCCTGTGTGCATCCTATTAGAATTGCTGATTTGCCCTGTAGGAGAATATGGTAAAACGGGTTGTAGGATCTAGCACTTAATTTTTAAAAGCTCTCTTCCTCCTCTCCCTCCCCCTAGTCTTTGAGATGTTTCTAGTTTTTCGGTGATGCATCAGTCTGAGACTTCAAGATGAGTCAGCCAGGATATCACAGGAGGAAATAAGAATACCAAATGCTCAACTATTTCTACAGCTGAAGCTAAAGCCTGGCTAGTAGAGACCATCCCCATTAAACCTCTGTATAAAATTCGTGTTTGATTTAAGATGTTGTTGCATGTCCTTTAATCTCTCTTTATTTAAAACACTATTTCTGACTAATTTGGGACTAGGTGTAATGACATAAAGGGCCACAGCTGCAAACTGCTGTGGAAAAACAAGCTCTCACTGCTGTATTTCAGAAAATCACAAAAGTTAGAAATAAGTGTGCTTTTCAGTGTAGTCTTATTATTGGTTCAGAACTACAGTTTTCTGGAAAATGTGATAGGACATACTAAACAAGCAAGAAAGCAGAAGTTAAAGCTAGTATTTCTGCTGGGAAAGAAGAACCAGACGGGCAATATTTGTTGGGGCTAATGTTTTAGATTTGACTTCCTGATCAGATAAAAGGCGGAAAGTAGTCTAACTGACACTTCTCTTCATGAGAAATTCTGGCTTCTACCTCTGAGAGCCTTTAACAGCAAAGTATTTCAATTAATTCCTTCTTATACTATTCTTACCAGGGTTTGGTACCGTTGCTGTGTGGTGGGCTACGGACCCGCTATGTACTTAGTGCAAATTGACTCACTGTTGTATTTCCACTGAAAACTATGCCACTTTTATTTCTATGCAATTTTGTTAGTTGATCACTTTGATCTTACCACAGAGATTGTCTACACACGTCTCACTACTGCATCCACTGCATGGTCTTCCTGCTTCATATGGTTTTCTTGGGTAATTCCCCCTGCAAAGCGGAAGAACAGTATTTTGTTAGCTCAGCCATTTGAAAAGCAATTTAAATACATGGTTTCATCAGATAGTTAGAATAATTTAACATGCAAAGCCATTATGGGTGGGCGGAATCCCTTTATCCAAAAACTGATTATCGCAATTGTTTGAAATCCCTTAGATCAGATTAAAGCTCTCACTGGCATGGGGAGCAGCTACCTGGTGACTCTTCTCATTTGAAATTAATGAGACATCTTGGGCAATACTGTATTATTCAGTGTAAGCATACAAGAATCTGCCTCTAGTCCCTCATTACCCATCTGTATTTTTAAAAAAATCTGTAAAAAGTAAGTCCAGAAATTGCAAGGTACGAGATAAACAAGAGGACTGTCTTCCTTTCATTTCTTCAATTAAAATGTCTCGTTTGAAGTTTGGGTGGGGCCATAGAAAGAGGTAATCTTTCTCAAGCGGAAAGCTTGCACCTTCCCAACTTTTCCCGCAGAGACTGAAGTCAAAACAGATTTTATTCCGCCGTCTTGGTTAAGGTGAGTGCTCTCAGCTATGATCTGCTCGCCTGCTTTTTTAGAAAGAGATTTTCTGCAGCTCCGACTATGTCCAGCAGCTTCTGCTCTCAATGGCTGAGGGAAGTTTCCCTCAGACCGGTGACATGTGGACGTAGCTGCTTCTGAAATTTGTTACAACTGCTCCCATCATCATTTGCATCTGATACCAGGCCAGTTACAGGATATTTAAAAAATAAAAACCCTAAACCCCAAATGCCATAATTAACTTACGCTGGCCCATAGTTGCAAACAAAATGTGCTGCTCTGAAGAGTCCTGGAAAATTTTCAACTGTATTGCAGAAGAGAACTGCGCAGCCAACTTTGTAAGTCTCTGCCCAAACGACCTGAAGGGCAAAGGGAAATATGTAACGCACCAGTTCAAAGGCTGAAAAAGCAACAGCATTAAGGGAGGAAGGAGAAGGAAAGGATCTTGTGGAAGTTTAAAACAGCTGACACAGGAGCAACATCAACAACCCAAAGGGCAGCTGAGACAAACAACTGATTGATGTTTTTGCATCTATCATCCTGCTCCCCCGGAAACATGAAATCGTTAGGGGGATAAACCCTTTCCACCATTACTGAAAATAGGACTCGGACATCCCTGGGGCTCGGAATATTAATTTCCAATCTCACGCAGCAATAAACTGGGGGGTAAAAACCCTTGCTGTAATTCCTGTTCCAAAGCGGTCTGTTCCAAGCCTGTACTTGGATTTTCTGTGAAACCATTACATTATAAACTGTTGGGCATGTAAGACTCACCTGGGTGTAGTGACCGCACATGTCAGTACATCTATTGGTGTTGAAATGATAGCTGCTGACTTCATTAAACCAGCCACTGAGAGCTCTGTCCACAGAGAAGATGGTGGCTGTGCCAGTCCAGATGTTTTCTCCAACAGGAGTAAAGGTGGGGTGCACCTTCCCTCTTATTTTAAGGTAGCTATTGTGCTTAAACTTGCACTTCTTTGCCCACGCTTTGGCAGTTTTAGCTAAAGCAGCGTCCCAGGACTGTAGGAAAGGAAGAAAACATAATATAACCTGCAATGCAGTGACTTACTTGAATTCAAACATTTTTAAACAGAAACTTGTGAGGATTCTTTTCCCCGTTTCTGCTTCCCATCCCTGCATTCAGTTTCTTTCTCTAACTTGACACTTCTACTCCCATAGCAAATTTATTTTCTTCTTTCTCCCTTAGATATTGCAGGACACATAGTGTCTATCCACTGTCCTGTGGTATCTGACTTGTTAAAATATTTAGAGCTGGATTGCAGTCTTTAAGCTGCTAGGCCTGAGAGAAGGTAACTGGGTGAAACCTCCAGCCTTAGAGGGGCTTGAGGGACTTTATGCCTAGGAGCTGTTGGCTGTCCAGGGATTTGCACTTTGCAGTTACCACTAGACCAGACAGGAATTCTGTTCCACTGGCCAGGATGGAGAGAAGAGTCACAGCTGCTCCCTTCCCCAGCCCCTTCTGCCGCTCTGTTCTTCTCCCTCCTCAGCGGGTGGCCAAAGCAAATGACAGGCTCACTCATCTCTGCTGGGCTGAGGAGGAACCATTCCCATCCTGAGTGGCACAAATGATAATTTGAGAAACCGGTCTGCGAGACTTGCAGAAAGATTTCATGCCACTGAATGACCAGGCAATAAAATGGCAGGTAAAATTCATTATAGAGAAATGTAAGTTAGGGGATGTGTTTTAAAAAACAAACAAACAAACAATTTTGACTTTGTGTTCGTAATGACAGGTTTGGAGCTGGCTATTACCACTTGTAAATCAATGTTTAGAAGTAGTCTAAAAAGCAAATAACGTGTTAGAAATTCCTTGAGAAGGAATGGAGAATAAAACCAGTATATAATTACACCACTGTAGAAGTCCTGTTAAATGCTGTGTGCAGCACCCCACCTTAAGAAGGGGACACTAGAACTGGAAAGGGCAGAGAGAACATGGAGGAGGAGGATCATCCTCAAGTACGGAGGGCTTTCATAAAGCAATGGAGAGTGCTCTGCAGAATTGATCAGAGACAGCTGAACATCTTGTGTGAAGTGTGTAAACAAGCAATGATTACTTGCTCCTTCCAATACAAAGACCAGAGACTATCAAATGAAGCTGGGAATTAACAGGTCCAAATCAAACACAAGGAGGTACCTTCACACAACTTGTTGTTAGACTGTGCAGCTCTTTGCTATACGATGCTAGGGACGATAAAAACTTACATGAGCTCAAGACTGAAAAAAAATTATCCAAGAAAAATCCATCAAGAGCTTTTAAATACAATGCAACAACTTTGATTTAAGAGGTTTTTATATATTTGTCCTGCTGTTATTCCAGACTTGCTGGATCTTTGGTCTGAGCGGCTAAGTTTGCTCTTGTGCATTAGCATTTTAAATTAAACATTGTTTTTTTAAAATGGCAAGAAATTAAAATCACGAGTAGTCTGAATTTTACCCCTTTACTATGAACTTCCTCTCATAGAAATGATTCGTACTGTGCGTGCAGTTATGCATTTAACTTCCTTTCCAGCGATGCAGCACTGCTGGAGGGCTCAGAGTAATGACATGAGCTGACTGGGGTTACCTCCCTCAGCTATCTACCTTCTTCCTTATGTATTCTGCCGAACGAGCTGAGACCTACCCATGGCCTATTCTGGTATCCATTGTATTTATAGGAAGCTCTGCCTTCCAGCCCAGATATTAGTATCCCTACTCTTCAAACCCCGCTACAGCAAATGAAGATCAGGTATCTAAATGGACGTCCTGGCAAATCCCTTTCTTCAACACATGTTCTAGATTGGAATACACAAGGGGAGAGGATAGATTTTCAACAAATCCTGTTGTGCAGATTGTCTATTCAGGAGCTTTTTAATACCAAACAGCTTCCCTGTGTGAGACCTGGACTAACATAAAACAGATTACTCTCTCTTTCAGAAAGAGGTAAATGAAATGCTGAGAACTGAACACTATTTTTTGCAACACAGCCCTTTGCTCTGGCTGAAGTTTAGAGTAGCAGTCCGTCCCTAAACAAAGAATTCCCTTCAAATTATTAAAACTGAACAATACTGTGAAAATTAATGTATTTTCTATTATTTCCTACAAAGAACTAACATATAATAGAGAGATCATTGACAGAAGGGGAAAGAAAAGCACAAAGCAAATGAAGAATAAGATGGGCTAAATCAGCAGCACAATCTGTATTAATTTTTAAACAGATCACGAATGCCTCCTTACCATGCGAAACATATTGCTGGCTGGTGGATTCACTTTGGATCGAAACATGTTGTGAGCTCTCACACAGTCTTCAATGAACTTTGCATCTTCTATGTCAGGCAAGGGATATTGTGGATAAGCATGACAGCAAGCAAAGAGATCCAGTAAGAACAACACAGCAAAGAAAAATGTGATTTTCATAATTCTTCAATGCTTTCAGTACTATTTTTTTTAAGTTTTTAAAAGAAAAATCTCTTAAGTGGAGATAATACTGGCAAGCAGTTCTTCTGAGGTTGTCCTCTGGGTGCGGAAGCACTCGAAAGTGTCAAAGTAACAGGAAGTGAAGTTGCTTCATAAGGTACAGCTCTATATGACATCATAGCTGGCTGTCAAAGGGTAAACCGTGAAACAGGCATCTGCCATGCATAGTAGCAAGGAGCAACACTTCAGATATACTTCTGTCTTTTCTTCGCATGTGCTCCATGCTGGTTCACTGCCAAACCATTCTGTGATTTTAGGTCTTATCTGAAGAGATGCTGCAGAACAGCTTTCCTAAAACCTGCGTCAACCATAAAAATCAAAGCTTTGACAAAATACAAACCTGCTGTTCAGCTGATTTTCCTACAGTATAGCTTAGTCGTACCAGCTCAGTTACAATTATTTTGCAGGACCTTGCTTCCATTTCACAATTACTCAAGGAATAAACAGAATTAGGAAAACTGCACCTCAGCATCTCGAAAAAAAAAACGCTTTTGGTCCTGGCGTGTCCTTGATGAAAAGATGTGTGAGGCACTACCAATCATCTCAAACTCTCACCTCCCTTGGCAAATAAAGGGAAGTAGGAGGTGAAGCACCCACCCTGACGCAACCCCAGTCCAAGGAGGTAGTCACATTTGCAGCCCAGCCATTGGCTTTTAGCTCTAATCGCTTTACCTGTTCCTCTGTCAGTGGTTAGCTGTGGCTCCATCTGCCTCCAGAATATGTATGCGATGGTCATGACCTCACCTACATTTACTAGATCCACCTGCTGACTCTGCCTCCTGGTGTACCACTAACAGTGCCAAGGTCCCTTGTCTAGCGGACGTAGTTTCTGTTCTCTTCTGCTCTTCTGCTCTATCCCAGAAACTGTGTGTGGGCATTGGCAAAGGTGATAGGGCCCTCAGCTGGAGTGGGACATTTTAAAATGTACGGGACGATGGCCTCTTGCTGGCATTGGTGACTGCTGGTCAGGCTGGGGTTGTGAAGGGGATCTTGGGAAGGAGGTTTCTTCCCATGGGTGCCATTGCCTTCTGTCCTACCAGAGGACAGAGGTTGGTCTCTCCTGCCAGCTTCTTGCTTCTGGGCTACAGAGGCCCTCTGATCCACCATGTGCACTCCTGAAGCCCACAAGGTACCATCCAGGTGCCACTGGCAGTAAGGTGTGTGTGTGTGTGTAGCACCAGGTAATGGAGAGATCCTTAGATCAAATTGTGACAGTTTAGATCATTATGGTGAATGGCCCTCTCCCCTGCTTCTAAACTGAACGTAGAAGGCCTGTCCACTGCTTTGTTCCTTTGAAAGTCATCTTGCCTCTTTTCTAAACCAGGGCCAACTGAGTTCAGTTTACCGCCAGTTATTCTTTCTCCAGCTGAGTATTACCTTGAACCTAGAAAGTAAGTATGTTTTCTCTTTCTTTTTCTTTTGTAACAATGCCCATGCAATCTAAAGCCTTTGGCCAGCTAGACGTAATGTAAAACCATGATTATATTACAACTACATGCAATTTGCAAAAAATTATCATCACACTAAAACTGCACCATTAATTTAGCAATGCAGTGGTCTTGCAGTTATATATGCGTGCAGTTGAAATTCTGTGCTTGGAAACTGAACTGAGATCTTTATGAAGTAGGAAATTTCGACATATCCAGGATAGTCCAGGTTATAAGATGCTTTCCTGCAGAGGTGACTGGCTCCATCTAGTGATTCTATCAATAATTAAAGCGGAAGTCCAGCCTGCCCTCAAGCATCTATAAACGAGGTTTTCACAAAAAAAGAGTTATAATCCTTTGCCAGCATTAATCAGTTGATCTTGTAAACCAGATGAAAATTAAGCTTTGGGATTTGGATATCACATTGTATTTGTCTGGACAATACAAGCACTGCCTGTCCCTGCATAGATCTCAAGTGAAATTCAGCACAATGACCTGGGTACGGGCAGGAAGCTGTACAGCCCAATGATTTTGAAAAAATCCCCATGTTTACATCCCCCTTTCTCACTTCTCGCCTGCTTTCAGTTTAAAATGGCTGGAAAAGTAAGACCTCAGATTCTTAGTTTTTCCCTAATGTACGATTCAGTCAGTGGACTAAAGGCTGATGGATTACAGACCGTTACAGATATCCAAGATGCCTGGGAATCTGTAAAATTAAATTTAATTTTGTCCTCAAATCATCAACTTCCCCACAGAGTATTGTTATTTGTGTTGGGGAGAGAATCTGTTTGTCCTTGACTTACTAGGTTCAGCTGAACAAACAGGGGTGGATCTGCTGGGTTTTCTTGTTCTGTCCACAGGATTAGGCAGCTGCAAGATCACTTGGCCTTCCAGACCTGTGAATAAACTAATAGTCTGACCTGCATTGCTAGTTCTGTTACACAATTTCACCTCAGGGCAGAAAACAGATTAATTCCAAGGATGGTGGTGGTACTGGATTTCCACAAGAATTATTTTGTAATAATTTATTTTGTAATTGTTCATTAAAAATAAAAAAATCTTGCCATTTTTTTGTAATAATGAGGCTGTAAACAGCCTCACAATTAACAGGGGAGGCCATCAGTACGTGGTTGGACTGCTGGTAGTTTTACTGTAGTTTTGGTTAGGGGAATTTGTACAGCGCTGCTTACTGCCACTACGTCCCTTGGCCTAACTGAGCAAAATCACAGTGCATTGCTTGCTGCGTTCTCTGAACAAAGCACCGGGATGTCATACGGACCAAAGCACAAGGGGTTGGTAGGTGTTCCTTCCCCTGTGGTGCTTACCTCCTGCCAGACAAGGTGGCCCCTTATCACATCTATTTTGCCCAAGGACAGCCTGTTTCACTCCCTCCTCTCAACCAAAGGATAAGAAGGGAAGTGTGAAGCACTCACCGAAGGCTGGCTCCTCCCTTTGGTGATAGCTCTGCTAAAGATTGTGAAGGGAAGATGGATAGGCAGTGATAATGCTGTGGAAGACGGTGGTCTCTTGAACCATATAAATACCTGAAGGGAGGGCGTACAGAAGACAAGAGCCAGGCTCTTTCCAGTGGTGCCCAGTGATGGGACAAGAGGCAATGGGCACAAACTGAAACACAGGAGATTCCCTCTCAACATCGGGAACCACTTCTTTACTGTGAGGGTGACCGAGCACCGGCACAGGTTGCCCACAGAGGTTGTGGAGTCTCCATCCTTGGAGACATTCAGAAGCCGTCTGGACATGGTCCTGTGCAACCAGGTCTAGCTGTTCCTACTTGAGCAGGGGTGTTAGACCAGATGACCTCCAGAGGTCCCTTCCAACCTCAACCATTCTATGATTCCTTGATGGAGCCAAAGCTTCAGCAGGTTGTGCAGGATGAAGGATTTAGCATGATCTCAACAACATAGATACAGGAAACTTGTTATAGAGTACAAGTATATGCCTAGCTGGACAGGATCTCTGGTTATCTTCCCTGACCCTCATACATGATTTAAATTTCTTGAACTTAAATTACTATCATTTGACACATTAGTTTCCTTCTTTTTAAATTCAAGGCATTTGAAAAATTAGAAGGCTCTTCTGTTGTCCGTCGTAAGCCTCTTTTTGCAGGGTAACACCAGAAATGGTTGGTGCATGGCAGCAGTATGGAAGTGAGAAAGTTCAAGGACTGCTACCATACTATTGGAATATTACGGAATAATACTCAGGAATCTCCTGACAGGAGATTCAGCAAGCCATTACAGTCCACATCCATGCTGTTTTTAAAAAGGGATCTTGGAATGAACTATCTTCTCAGCCACTCATAGATTCCCTCCCAAAGACACCAAACTGGGAAAAGGGCAAATTATACGTATTTCGTGTGGACACCACAAGAACCAGCACTGAGGACAGAAACCTTATATCACAAGTTCAGGAAAGCAGAATGAAAAATATATTCATGGATGGAAAATGACTTCATTTATTGAAACAGGATCTGATGGCATCACTATCTGCACATCATTCACTGTTGCAAATTCCACACTGCTTAGCTCAGGAAAAACACTAAAACTATGTCTCAGATGAAAGGCCTACTATCAGTCTGGCATAAATATGGCCAGTAGGAACCGAGGTTTTTCTAAAGCTTTGGGAGACTGCAGAGCTCTTTTTCAACTCTGCCTTCTCTCCAAGGCGTACTCTGATTGTCACAGTCCTAACTGTAATGGAGTTACTAAATGACAAGACAGACAGTTATTCTCAGGGATAGGAATTACTGTGTTAGATACGAATGTCTTCCAGGCTATCTCACAGCTCCAAGTAGGAAAACTTACATTTTAATAACTGAATGTAAATGGGGAGCTTTGTTTGTAAAAAGGCAGCATCTTAAAACTATGCAATATTAACACTTAAAAACTTGAAAGAGCTTTACGGTAGTACCAGATTTTGTATTTCAGGTACTAAGGAAACTTTTTTTCCTTACAAACATCTGAAATTTAGCTCTCAAGTAAGCTTTTCAACCCTAATACGGCATCAAATAATGATTTTATCGTCAGAGATGGTGAATATCAGCAACTTCCAGGTAAACCAATGGGAATAGCTGCTGCTCAGGAACTTTCATACTGCACAATTCTGCATGTAGGAGGCACCTATTTATCGTTTTAGGTATATAATATTAGGCTTCTAGATTTAAGAATGTAATCCAAGTTTTAAAGAATAAAACTTGTATTTGAAAAGTCTGTTCTGTATTTTAGTAATTTTAGAATAGAAAACTTACAGAAATAGCTAGCACATGCCTAATTTTAAATTAATCTAAATAAGTCTAGCTTACTTTCTTTGAGACTGTTTTATAGTAAGTATTTTTTATATAATCAATGGAATTATCAGTATAGATTTAGATAATAAATTGGAATGTTTTAGGTCTAAATTGTCAAACACACACAGAGAAAGAAAGTATAAAACAAATTAGTTCCTAAAACTGAACTCATAGAGGCTTCTTTTAAGCTCAATTTGAGTTCTGAA